GGATATTTAGCTATGGCCTTTATATTTTCATCGGATATGTTATTTATATTTAATCGATACAAATACAAAAGTGTCGATACTTTTATGTCAGGTGTCGATACTTTCGAAATGATAATTACCTATTTATTTGAAGTGTCGATAATTATTACACGTACTTACGAAAGTATCGACACTTTCAATATATCTGGTATCATTTTACCGGTTTTATCATTTTGATACCGGTTTTATCATATTTTTACCTGTTATATCGTTGTGGATCGATATTTTTTTTAAAGTATCGACACATTATAGGCGCTATAACTGCTTCTCTTTTAAATTCACAAAGTGTCGATCCTTATATAACGTATCGACACTTTTAAATTTACCGGTTTTATCATTTTGTTACCGGTTTTATCATATTTTTACCTGGTATATCGTTTTGGATCGATATATTTTTAAAAGTATCGACACTTTTTAGGATTTAAAACTGCTTTGAAAGTTATGTAATTTATGTTTCAATTATTTAATAGTGTTTCATGTTTTCCACCTACAATATTAATTTAATAATTTAATTTACACAAAATTTTATTTGATTGTTTTGATATTTTATAAATATTATTTAGAATTTAAATTTAACAATATTAACCAAATATAATAATAAATATGTTTTCAACAGTGAAATAAGTATGGACACTTTTATAAAAATGATATATACTTTTTTGAAAGTTATGTAATTTATGTTTCAATTTATTTAATAGTGTTTCATGTTTTCCACCTACAATATTAATTTAATAATTTAATTTACACAAAATTTTATTTGATTGTTTTGATATTTTATAATATTATTTAGAATTTAAATTTAACAATATTAACCAAATATAATAATAATATGTTTTCAACAGTGAAATAAGTATGGACACTTTATAAAAATGATATATACTTTTTTGAAAGTTATGTAATTTATGTTTCAATTTTTTTAATAGTGTTTCATGTTTTCCACCTACAATATTAATTTAATAATTTCATTTACACAAAAAATTATTTGATTGTTTTGATATTTTATAAAATATTATTTAGATTTTAAATTTAACAATATTAACTAAAGATAATAATAAATATATTTTCACAGTGAAATAAGTATGGACACTTTTATAAAAAGGATAGATAATTTACAATATAACAGGTAAAAATATGACAAAACCAGATTCATTATGACAAAACCGGTAAAATTTACTTGATATGTTAAACGTATGGACACTTTTATAAAAAGGATAGATACTTACCGATAACCAAAGTTTACCGGTTACCAAATTTTTTAATAGTTTTTCATTTTTTCTACCTAAAACATTATTAGTTGTCAACATAATAGGTACCGCTAAACCGAATTTATTAAATACATTTTAATGTATCCGGTAATGCTGTATATTAGCCGTATATTAACCCGCCTTTCCTGAGACAATCCCGTTGTACTTGATTCTCAATTTTTGTGTCTCGACTCTGGTGTTGGATCTGTATTTATATTAATATATTGAGTACCTTTTTTTCTAATAGTATTGCTACTTTGCATCGATTTGTTTTTAATAGTTTTTAATAGTCGGGGTGATTACAAGATAATATCTATTTAAAATTTTGCTGCATCGAATTAAGTTGATCGTTATCGAGTCCTTTTTCTCGATCGTCTTGTATTGCTATGCATATTTAGTAATACTGGGAATCATTGTTGATTGCTTGAAAACATCTTTTAGATATTATCCTCAACCGTTGTATGTACCAAACCCCTTTCTAGGGGTGTAAACGAGTCGAGTCGAGCTCGAGTATTGTTGAGCTCGACTCGAAAACTTTGAAATGGAGTTTGACTCGACTTGAAAACTCGAAAATATCTTTTAGATATTGTCTTTGCTTAAAATTTTCAAGCTCGACTCAAACTTGAAATCCTGAACTGAAGCTTGTGAGCAGTTCGAAAATGCTCGAAATGAAGAAAAAAAAATTCTTAAACTTAACTCGATTGAAGCCTCAAACTCAAAATCGGACATGAACCTTAAATATATAAAAATCTTAATGTATTTTTTTTTAAAAATCAATACATAAATATTAATATTATTAATAATTTATTTTTTTAAAAATAAAATCTTAATTTATTATATTTTTGAGTTGTTCACGAGCTTTTCGAGTTGAATATCAAGTAGCTCGTTTCGGTTCAATAAGAACTAGAGTCGAGCTTGAGTCGAGTCCATTCGATCTGAATATTTATCGAGCCTTGATCGAATCGATCTCGAGTAATTCGTGATTTGTCTTTCTCATTTACAACCCTATTCTTGCCTTCTTCCTTCATGCCTACTTTCATGATTTAATTATATTTAATGTTACGTTAATATTTAAATATAATTATAATTAAAATGTTTGAAAAGATTAAACGAATTCAATTCAATTATCTTACTTTTTCTAGTTTTTAAATTAATAACTTTAAATTTATGTTTAATTTAAAATAGTTAATTGAATAATGTTATTTAATATAAATAATATTGTAAGCAAGATTAAATCATTATTTTTTTAATTCTTTTATTTATTAAATATAATTTCAAGACGTGACAGTGATTTGATCACGTTTGTGAACCGCTGATATACCAAGTACGAAAACCTATTCATTAATTGACTTTGCCAAATTGGAAAATTAATTATCCAATTCAAATCATTTAAATAATTTAAGTACTAAAATAAAGTTGACGAGCATTGAATTGAAAGCGAAATCGGCCTATAAAAGGTTCGATTTTCCGGCTTTATATCCCTTTTAAGGGTGTAAATAAATATAATATTCGATGAATTTATTATGAATCGTTTATATAATATTTAAGGTAAATTATACGGGATCACCAAATTATTGTTAAAGATTATTTTGATCATTAATATTTTAATTTGGTTAATCAGATTATCTAACTATTTAAATGTTTCAATTAAGCCACCAGACGTTAATTTTTAACAGACGTTAATTAGCATAATTATATATTTGGTCTTAATATTTGCACATTCTATCAATTTAATCACTATTATAATTCAATTAAATAAACTTAACTATCCAATTAGGACTAAATAAATTTTAAATTATTTAATTAAATGATTTTGCTATCTAATCAGGTGGTGACGTATATTATCATCCAATTGAAGTGAAAATAAAGGGATAAATTTGCATTCAAGGAGGTTCAAACCAACATCAGGGGGGAAATATGAACAGCCAAGCACCCAAAACACTAGGCTAAAGATCCCCGATGTTTAAAGTTTACAACAATTTATATTTGTCTTTTAAAAGTTTGTTAATGATAAAAAATTAAACAAATTATTTTTCTTTTAAAGTTTACAACAAAAGTTTGTCTTTTAAAGTTTACAACACATTATAAAATAAAAGATCACATAAATAATTAAATAAATCTAATATTTAAAATTTTAATTAATGAAAGTTTGACAATAAAAATAAAATAATTTTAATTTTTTATATTTAATATTAAATTTAAAATATAATTTAAAAATATAAAAAATGAATTATAAATATATTAAATTATAATTTAAAATAATAACTAAATTAATAAAATGTGTAAATATTAAGGACCAAATATTTATTTTTATAATTCATTTTTATATTTTTAAATTATATTTTAAATTTAATATTAAATATAAAAATTTTAAAATTATTTTTATTGTAAATATTTCATTAATTAAAATTTCAAATATTACATTTATTTAATTATTTAAGTGATCTTTTATTTTATAATTTGTTGTAAACTTTAAAGAGACAAACTTTTGTTGTAAAAGTAAATAATTTGTTTAATTTTTTTATCATTAACAAACTTTTAAAAGACAAATATAAATTGTTGTAAATGTTAAATCATTGGGATCTTTAGCCCAGTGGTTTGGGCGCCTGACTGCTCATATTGTCCCCCTAATGTTAGTTTGAATTTCCCTGAGTGTAAAATTGTCCTTTTTTTTCACTTCAATATGTGTCACCACCTGATTGGATAGAAAATAATTTAATTAAATAATTTAAAATTCATAAATAAAACCTTTCAATCATGTATTGACACATCTCACGTCCTAATTGGATAGTTAAATTTATTTAATTGAATTAAAATAGTGACTAAATTGACATAATGTGTAAATATTGAGGATCAAATATATAATTATGTCAATTTTATTAACGGAAACGCCACCACCTCCGTTAAAAATTAACATCCAGTGGTTTGATTGAAGCATTCAGATAGTTGGGTGGTCTAATTAATCAAATTGAAACGTTGGTGGTCAAAATGATTTTTTATCACACTTTGGTGGTCCCCCATGTAGTTTACCCTAATATTTATTTATGTATGTTTATTGAATTAAATAATATGAATAGAATTGTTTAAGTTAATTTAATAAATAAGCGAGTGTATGTTAATCTCGGTGAATTGATTATGAGTCGTTTATATAATATTCATTTATGTATGTTAATTTTTATGTTTATTAAATTGAAAGCGAGATCGCCTATAGATGTTTCGTTTGAAAGCTTATTTTCCCGATTCTTTTTTTTAAAAAAAAATAAATATATATAAAGGTAGTAATAAAATTGAACACAAAGTGAACTTTGAAGTTCAAATTATGAAGCCACTTTCGTTTAGTTTGTAAATAAAAAAAATCAATAGAGGGTGTTAAACTAACATGGTCACGAACGTTGAACGAACATGTTGGTAATAAAAGAACAGCCTTATAAATGTAAAAGTAAAACAAAACCGGATTTATGATATCATGCTTGTACTTACTGGACTGGAAGACATAAAGCAATTGGATTTTATAGGTAGTATTTCTACAAGATAAACGTGATAAACATGCCCTCAAAACATGCTTCAACTATATAGATCGCCTGTTAGTAGCACATCAAACAAAATTTAGACAAAGCTAACTGAAATACTACCTATAAAATCCAATCTTCAATTTCGACAGAGAAGGAACGGCGATAAACAAAATCATCAACGACAAACTAATAGCAAAGTCACGCATGATACATCATATGTAGATATGTGATAATCCTAATTCCGGGCCACATTGAAGGAAAGCCAAAAGAACCGGTGGAAACGGAGGAATCACAGAAACGTTTACCTTGCTAATAAGCCCATCGTCATCCAACGAACTGCTGATGATCTTGAATAGCTTAAAGAGTGCTTCGAATAGCTTAAAGAGTGCTTCGACTTCACTAACACTAACTGCAGATACAAGTAAAATCGACCAAACAACCAATTCCGAGCCGATTGCAACGAGCCAATATAGTTCTACTCATTTGAGTAAAGGGCTATGTTTTCGAAACCCCAAACAAATTTCATTCACACAAACACAACAGGGTACATGCAATGAACAAAATTTTGTAACAAATTACAAGACTTACAAGCAGTTTGTGCAGCGAGTTTAACAGGGTCTTCGCGTTTGGCGCTTTGCATTTTCTTCACTTTAGATAGTATTTCTACAAGATAAACGTGATAAACATGCCTTCAAAACATGCTTCAACTCTATAGATCGCCTGTTAGTAGCACATCAAACAAAATTTAGACAAAGCAAAACAACACTTGAAGTAATGCGTTACCCGATCCGCAAAAATGTTTTTCTTCTTCTTATTGTGAAACAGAGCTAACTGAAACTCTTCCTGCAGAAAACATTAGATGGGAGTCAAAACCGTCGACTCCAATCTTCAATTTCGACAGAGAAGGGACGGCGATAAACAAAATCATCAACGACAAACTAATAGCAAAGTCACGCATGATACATCATATGTAGATATGTGATAATCCTAATTCCGGGCCACATTGAAGGAAAGCCAAAAGAACCGGAGGAAACGGAGGAATCACAGAAACGTTTACCTTGCTAATAAGCCCATCGTCATCCAACGAACTGCTGATGATCTTGAATAGCTTAAAGAGTGCTTCGACTTCACTAACACTAACTGCAGATACAAGTAAAATCGACCAAACAACCAATTCCGAGCCGATTGCAACGAGCCAATATAGTTCTACTCATTTGAGTAAAGGGCTATGTTTTCGAAACCCCAAACAAATTTCATTCACACAAACACAACAGGGTACATGCAATGAACAAAATTTTGTAACAAATTACAAGACTTACAAGCAGTTTGTGCAGCGAGTTTAACAGGGTCTTCGCGTTTGGCGCTTTGCATTTTCTTTACTTTAGAATGAAAGCAGCCCATTTAATTGGGCAAGCTAAATCAACTTTGAAATCAAAGCAAGCTAAATCACAGTTCTCATAAATCATAAATCATAAATGGAATCCAATTAACAAGAAATACCCATCACTTGAAAAAAGAAATAAATCAATCAAAACTCAAATCCAAATCCAAACCCAAACTAACAGCATTCGAATCAACCAATATTAGCAATCTCAAAAACAACGAAAAATAGCAGATGATAAAATTCTTGCACGAGAGCGCGTAAATTTTTGAAGGAAGCTTTCTTTTCGATGCAAAAGATTACCTTTATTTGAGAAGATGAACAACAACGGGGGTGTGCGGGAGCAAGTTGGAAAGGCTGGTCCCTGAAAGAAAAGAGAAAAAAAAGGTAAATCAAAATTCCGTCCCTAAACTAGTTTGAATTTACAAAATACCGACAATTAGTATTTTATTTAAATTTCAGGTGTTAAAGTAAAAATTAAATCTTTTTACTAACATGTCACGCCATCAAACTAACGATATTTATCGTCTCAACGACTAAAACTTTATAAAACAATAATTCAAGTGACCAAAACTTAAGTTGTTTTTAATTTAGTGAACAAATGTAAAAAGCAAGTGACTATTAGAGTTAATTGCATCATATGCCTTCAAATCATGACTCTTATTTTAAATTGCTCCTTAAATTTTTAAATATTACAATTTCATCCCTAAACTATGATTATCATTATAAATTAATCCTCAAACTTTTGAACATTTCATTTTCATCCTCAAACTACGACCTTCATTCTAAATCATTCCCCAAAATCACTTCCTTTGTTAATAAAATTGTTAGACCAAGTCATATTATTATATGTTTTTTTAAATTAGGTTAAGATATGATTGAAACTAATTATATATTAAGATGACTTTGGGGATGAAATTGAAAGATTCAAAAGTTTAGGGACCAATTTGGAATGAGAGTCATAATATGGGGATGGAATTTAAATATTTAAAATTTTAAAGACTAATTTAGAATGAAAAACGTATTTTAGGGATGAAATTGTATAATATTCAAAAGTTTAAAGACCAATTTAAATGAAGATCATAGTTTAGGGACATAGGATGCAATTAACTCTAAAAATTAAGGTACCAAGTGCTTTATTAACCTATGAACTCTTTCAACATCTCTTTTAACTCGCATTATTACTGCTCCATAGTCAATAAAAATGGCAACTTTGTATCATAGAGGTGGGGAAATCTTCATATACCAAAGTGAGAAATGTGAACAACTCTGTAGGAAATTTGACCCTTTAACATTAAGAGGCACAATTTTAGTTGATTTTTTGTTTTAATTGCTTTAATCATCCTCAAAGTATGGCACCGTTTTGAATTATTTATCGAAATAATACTCTTTTAATATCACATAAATAAATGTATCTCATATATTTTATAAAGATGTACTATGTTAATCGTGCCTTTAAAAGTACATCCGACAAGACACGTCTTTATCCTCCGTAACTTTAAAAAAACACGTGTGACACATGTCTTAACATATGTTATAACGAGCACAAACACTCAGATAAACATGAAATATGTTAATCTCGTATATAAATTCGGCCCATCTATAAAACAATTTTATAAAAAAAATATGATCACATTGATGGAAGATATTGAGAAAGGAATGAAATTTAACAGATAATCTAAAAATGGAACACAATCCTACTCGAAGCAGAATTCTAAATATGGAATGAAATCCAGCTCGAAGCACAAGTTTGGTGGAATATATCCCAAAATACGGTAGCTAAAACGCTGTCGTTTTGCAGTAGCAAATCGGCAAATCCAACAGGTATAAAATATGTTAAAAGAGCTTCCTTTATCTCCACCTCTCCTCTCATCAACTCAGCAGACTCAGCACTGAAAATGATGGCCTTCGCAATCTCGGGTTCTGCTAATCTCGCCGCCGCCAAACCCTCTCTAGGAGGGGGAGGTACGTCCACGCGCCTCCCTCTCTCCCGCCAAATATCAACCCTTCACGTCAACAAAAAGCCCAACTCCGCCGTTGTCGCTTCCACTTCTGCTCCCACCACCGTTCAAACCGACTGGTCCCTCGATTCGTGGAAGTCAAAGCCGGCCCAGCAACTCCCTGAGTATCCGGACGCTGACGAGCTCGAGTCGGTACTCAAAACGATCGGGTCGTTCCCGCCAATTGTGTTCGCCGGGGAGGCGAGGAAGCTGGAGGACAAGCTAGCGAACGCCGCCGTCGGGAAAGCGTTTCTGTTACAGGGCGGTGACTGTGCTGAGAGTTTCAAAGAATTCAACGGCACCAACATTAGAGACACTTTCAGAGTACTTTTGCAGATGGGCATTGTCCTCACTTTTGGTGCCCAAATGCCCGTCATCGCTGTATGTCTTATTTATCCCCCCAAAATCCCAACTTTCTAAAGCTAAATTTGACTTATTTTATCAATTATTTCCTTGACAATTTTTGTATGATTTTTTTATAGGTTGGGAGAATGGCAGGGCAATTTGCAAAGCCAAGGTCAGACTCATTTGAGATAAAGATGGAGTCAAATTACCAAGTTATCGAGGAGATAACATAAATGGCGATGCTTTTGATGAGAAATCTCGAGTTCCCGATCCTCAGAGACTGATAAGAGCTTATCTTCAATCTGTTGGTACTTTGAATCTCCTTAGAGCATTCGCCACGGGTGGATATGCAGCCATACAAAGGGTCTCCCAATGGAATCTAGATTTTGTTAGACATAGTGAACAAGGAGACAGGTAATTTGAGTTTCATATGCGGGCACGTTTAGCATTGTGATTTTGGAACTGCATAGATTTGCAATAGAGATAATAGGCCTTGGATTTTTCTTTTTTCTTTCTGTTGTTGGATTTAAAAATCTGGGTGGGTTTATAATTAGGTACATGGAGCTTGCACAGAGAGTCGATGAAGCTCTCGGATTCATGGCTGCGGCTGGATTAACTATTGATGACCCTCAAATGAATACGGTTGATTTTTGGACATCCCATGAATGCCTCCATTTACCTTATGAACAGGCCTTGACTAGAGAGGATTCAACATCTGGCCTCTATTATGACTGTTCTGCTCACATGCTTTGGGTCGGTGAGAGGACTCGGCAGTTAGATGGAGCACATGTTGAATTTCTCCGGGGCATTTCCAATCCTCTCGGCATAAAGGTAAACGTTGGTTATTGTGCTTTAGATTCTAAAACTCATTGCCAATTGTTTATGAGATCTGTTTAGATAAACATCGCAGACCTATTAACTCTACTTAGTATGATTAATAAGGATGCAAATCCATGCATTTAAAATGATGAATGTCAATGGTTTATTAGATTTGTCTGGATATTCATTGCATTCCGATTTAGCAAGTACTCGGTAATGATTAGTAACGGTGCTAATCCCTGCATTAAAATAGTTGTACACAGTTAGACAATCGATGATTCTTGATTGTTTTGACGTTTGGGACTCATAGTGGTATCGAACTGACTTTTAGTCCGACAAGAATCTGTTCGTGAAGTTGTAGGTTCATGTTTTAGAAAGCAAACCATAGTGTGAACAAGGCTTGATGTGGTTTTAGTTGTTATGTTTGAATAGTATTTTCTGATTGATGATATTTCCATGCATCTATAGGTCAGTGATAAGATGGACCCCAAGGAACTCGTAAAATTGTGCGGAATTCTTAACCCTCGGAACAAACCTGGGAGACTGACAATAATCACGCGAATGGGAGCCGATAACATGCGAATAAAGCTGCCACATCTTATTAGGGCCGTTCGCCAGGCCGGGCTTATTGTCACTTGGGTGAGCGATCCCATGCATGGAAACACAATTAAAGCTCCATGTGGCCTAAAAACCCGTCCATTTGATGCAATCAGAGTAAGATCTCTTGAACTTAAGTTTCCAAGCAAAACTTGTCTTTTGTTGAACTGTAATGAAAGCCTAAATGTGATATCCTTTTGGCCTCTTTCACTTTCCTCAGTCTGAGTTGAGGGCATTCTTCGATGTTCACGAACAAGAAGGAAGCTATCCGGGAGGAGTTCATCTGGAGATGACGGGGCAGAACGTGACAGAGTGCATCGGAGGGTCAAATACCGTAACTTTTGATGACTTGAACTCTCGGTATCACACCCATTGCGATCCAAGGTTAAATGCATCGCAGTCATTAGAGCTAGCCTTTGCCATATCAGAAAGGTTGAGGAGGAGAAGGCTCAAGTCTGCCAAGGAACTTCTGAGTGGGAACAAAGTAAATTAGTTTATCTTGTGCCGTGTCCGAAAAGGAGAGGCTTTTGTAATATAATAAATAACCCTCTCCTCGCTTGATATGCTGGTGTCTGATCTGATCTAGTAGTCGGTGTTTTCGAGATTTGAGTGACTTTTTATATGGCATATCTGTCTTCCTTATTTTGCAATAGACATAAGCAAAGCTTGGTTAATGGGTACCATTCAAACCAGAATAATTACTTATCTTCTGCAAGTATCTTCACTGGAAATGGCTTTGGACGATTTACGCGTGTTCTTTTCTTAGAAGGTACCATGGAGTCCCCATGAGAAAGATAAAGGAGAAGACAACGTATATCAGTATTTAAAACCATTCTAGAACTACTCAGGCTCTGCACTTGCACATGATTCACACAAACAAAAACTCAAAGCTTTACGTAGATTAAGAACCCTAAATCCATGTTGTTCTAAACCCATAACGATAATAAATATAAATCAAGACCTAATAATAAATGGGTAAAGTACACAAATGGTCTCCCGGCTATAGAGTTTTACTTTGCTGTTGTCTCCTGACTATTAAGAGTTATAAAATGGTAACTTCATTCTTATGTTCTAAACTCGTTCTTTTCCGTCAAAATATTTACGGTCGTCGTTTGAACTGAACGTTAACATGTTGATTGTGGTATGATCAAATATGATCCCATAACCATTTGAGTTTTATTTTGTTGATCGACTCTTTGTTCACATCATGTCGTCGAGCCACTGCTTAAAACATTATATTGTCGAGCCAATGCTTGAAAGTAACATCGATGTCAGTAGGCATCATTAAAATATAATTTTATTATATCTCAGTCAACATGTTAATGTCCAGCTCAAACGGTCATTAATTTTTTAACAGAAAAGGACAAGTTTTAAACATATAAATAGTCGAGTGACCACTTTGTAACTTTTAATTGTCGGGACTAAAAAGATAGCATTCTATAGTCGAAGGATCATTTTGTAACTTTTAATAATCGGGTGACTCAATAAAGCATCATCATATAATCGAAAGACCATTTGTGTACTTTACTCACAATAAAATTAACCATCAATATTTAATTTTTTATCAATTTGATCCTTATATTTAGAGTTAAATTTAATCTGCGTCTTTTAAAAAATTAAATAGCTTTTCTTCTATACATGCGAATTAAAACATTAATTTTTTAATTGTGTCGATGTGATAGTTTATATGATATTTTTACTTGATAAATGGTTTTTAAAAGATCACGAAGAACTCATTGAGAGGTCTCAATGGTTATAGATAATGTTATTATCTTTTGAGATTCTAAATTCGAGCTGTATATTATCAATACTCACAAAATAATTCTTGATAAAATTTCCATTAAAAAAATGAGCTTTGATCAACACACGTTCTCCATTTACAAAGTAGACGAGCATACTTGCTATCCCCTTGGTTTTCCATACTTGAAATGAAATGCATCTATTCCTTAGACAAGTAAACTTTCAACACCAACCCAGATATTATCCCTACCACTCCCACAACGCCTGCGAATACGATCGAAAATCCAGGATCGCTCCTCCGTTGTCTTCGCCTCTTCAGGAAATCCTGTTCTCATAAAAAATAACCATCGTTTTACGTATCGTCCATCTCCGTAGTAAATTCTAACGGATCTGTATGAATAGAACATAAATATATGTATATACATTCACTAATAAGTTACAATTGACCAGTCGATATTATGTTCGATCTGAATTTAATCTGTTTATAATCAAGGTTATGAATCACCTAATTATGGTGCATTTACATTGACATACCAGTTCTTGTTGGAGATGCAGTGTTTGCTTGACTGCGGCATCTCGTTCTTCTTTCAGGTGCTGCAAAGTCTGATTCAGGGAAGCAGGAAGGACATTTAAGGAAAGAAACCGGATTCCGGGCTTGCATTTTTCGAGTTAGCTTCACAAGAAAACATAATTGAAGGCAAAACGGCAAGCATATGACAATGAAGTCCAATACAAGTTAACATAATTGAACACATGTTTTCGGTTCCGATCTTGGACAAGAAGTTGCATACAAGGAACCGAAAACTTGTGTTCGTGTAAGTCACACGAGAATATCGGAATCATTTGCTCGTGGTAATTGGATGGTATAGGATAAAACTCACAGAGTTTGAATCAGGGTTCTGATCCGGAAAGGTCTTGAATCCTTCATCCCCTGAATTCCTTTGAGCCGAAGGAGATCTATAGTGAACTTTAAGCTTGCACTCCCTTATATCCTTAGAAACATCCTTATTGAACTGGACACAGAGGCAAATATGTCACATTCCGAAAAATCTTATTCTTTCTCTATACGAAAGATTGTACTCGATGTCTGATGTCGGCAATCGTACGGTATCAGCCGGTAAGTCATCGACTTTGGTATTTGGAGGCACCATAGTACTCTGTAGCAGAAATTTGTCTTTGCATTGCATATCCGGCGGATATTCCCGTTGTGCTTGGAGAGTGACTGGTATATGAGAACTCAATGAAATCGGTATCATACATAACAAAACCGTCCCGGAAAAGGTCAGGGTAGAAGTTGTACCTCGGATAAGACATGAGTCCATCGGCTGCATGATGCCGGTGTTCGGTCGGACGAAGTACTTCTTCGGTGAAGTCGTTTTAACCTAAACATGATAACAAGTTTGGGAACATGTGATAAAGAACATACATAAAATGATGTTCATGTATACCTTAAATGCAACATGGTTCTGTGTGTTGTTCACCACCTTAAGATCACAATCACTTGGCTCCTCAAACTCAACTGAAATACGAATCACAATAACCAAAACTCAATTAAAAACTTCATGACATCACCATAGAATTAAAGCATGACTCCCCCCCCCCCCACATACATCCAAAGCGAAATCTATACATGTATGTATACATACATCAAAATTCACATGCATGCAAGTAATATATAAGCATATAAAAGAGGTGGAACTTACTAACGAATTTGAGATCGTTGGTATGAACGGAGACCAACTGATTACCGTCAGCAGCTGGCATGACTGAGCCACTACTTTCACCGCCGCCACTGGATGCCCTTTTATCTTTTTTAACACTGAATTAATGAATAATCTTACTCGAACATCTAACAAAAAATGGAAAATAAAAATACAAAGAGAGCCCTCCACTGCCATAAATCTTTAGAAATTTGATGTAATATTAATGAGTGAAGTACCTTGAATGAGGAACAAACATGTGGTGCAAAGTGCAACGAGATCGGTCCAAATCTCAAGTTTCTTTCTTGTTTTCTCTGGTGGAAAATGGAAGTCGCCACCAATGTCGGAGTTCCAGGTTTGAATAATGTATATCTATATCAACCTATATGTACTGAAAACTCTTATAAATTAATATCTATCCATCTACTTATACATTAATACTGATAAATATTTCATATGAATTTTATCATATCCATACATAAGAGCTTCAATTTCATTTGAAAGACTTGGGATAAATGGATTTACTTGATAAAGAATAAAGACATTCAAATATACCATATTTATTTCTTTATCTTTTAAAGTAAATTTATATTAGACAATTAAATTTTAAAATATATATGTTTATCTTTTTAATGATAGGTGAAATTGAAAATTAAATAAAAATGGTTTTTCTAAAGAAAATTGCTTTTAATATATATGATTAAATTGTTCGATAATTAATCTAAGATGGTTGCAAGATTAATATATATTAAAAAAATTCTTAATCAATTAACAACGAACCACATTATAAACATAGCTAACTAGCCGCTCAAACCCAAACTTTTAAAGAGAACAATACTTCAATAGTAATCACTGAGATCGTTCAAGGAATTCAAATAAATACTGAATTTAATTTCTTTGTAAAGGGCAACAATTGATTTTAATATGTACTTGCATGAATTCCCAACTTTAACTTTCCTTAAAATAGTTTTAGTGAGCTCATTATAAGGCCCCTCAGAATCCTAGTGTCATTGGAATAGGTATATTGTTTTGAAAATCTGCAGAAAGAACAACACCTGCAGGCTGAAAATAGAGACGCGACATTCTGTCATCGATCATTCATGCCAAGTATGACATAACACAATTAACAACAGGCATTAAAGCTTCCCTTCAGCAAACATTTTTATCTTAAAAGAAACAACATTTAAAGCCAGGAGAAAACTAGACTCGTCAGTAAAACAGAGATCTAAAAGGATATCATGAATGCCACGTCTCAAACTCGGACTAAACCATCTTAACCTAAATCGAATCAAAACTGACACTACTTCTCAGTCGTAATGAACCTTTGTTCTGATTTTAACCAAAAATAGTAAAACAAAACAAAGTATGCATGCATGCATGCATGCCAGGGAATGGGCAAATTATCTAAATTTACACTCGAAAACAGTAAAAGTTTGTAGATCCTGACTATGGAATAGATCACAATAAAGTCCCAGACAAGGGGAAACGCATTGTGTAGATTGTGGCACTGCAGACTCACTTGCCACCCAGTGAAGGAAAGTGCCCAGGGTCTTCGATTGAGGGAGCTGACACGTTGCTTGTTGCATTGCCTCCATACCCTCCTCTGGGACCACGGCCACGGCCTCGACCACGCCCCGGTCCATAGTACCTCTCACCTTCAGCTGGCTTCAGGAACTCATTGATGCTGACAGACTACACCGAAACATCCATGCAGAATTTTGAAAAGGGAAGACAATACGTTAAACACATCATCAGCACTAATAATAGTTATTAAGGCAGAAAACTTAATGCAAAGATACCATTTCACATATGCATCAAGTACTGCAAAACTTTCAAACTTCACATAATTATGCAATTACATCACAATAAGATAGTACAAGCTGGACTATGCATTTTGCAGATTCATTTTCATGTTGCTTAGCAAATAACAACCATTATGCTGTTAACCAGGCATGCATGCCCTCAATCAGTTACCATTAATGTCTAAATTAGTTTAGGCTAATTGCATTGTCAAAAGTAATATAGACCGTGACATGGGAACAGCCAATTAAGAATCAAAGTACAAAGAAGCATTCATACTTCGTTAAACAAATTAATGACTATACTTCTTAAGAATCAATTAAGTTAGAAAGGGAAGATGGCATCCTAAGAAAGATAAATGTCAAATTATTTGGTATTAACTCACATCTATATGAAGGCAGTTAACCAACAATAACATGTGACAAAAATATGCAAACCTTTTTGGCTTTTTCTTCTTTATCAGCATCTTTGCGCTTGTCCTTTTCAGAACCCTAAAAACCATAAGCTAAGTCAATATGCCACTATAAATTAAATATTTGAAACCATAAAAACCAAAAGAAGAAAGCTAAGATATCTTGCCAGTTTGATAAAGATATCATCATTGCTCTTCTTGTTTGAAAGTTGTTGCATGGACTCGAACTCTTTGGTATCAACTTTCCTTTCTTCATTTGTCTTGAGGGCAAGCAGAGCTTTCCTCTTCTCCTCAAGAACCTTCTCATATTCTTCCAAGGTCATCTCCTATAAGACAGAAAGAATGACAACATTAACTTCCACCAAGGCTTACTAAACCAGGCAACTAAGTTGAGTACTCAATTATCCAAAAGTTGATTCTGTTAAACAATGTGAAAGCATGGCCAGTATTACAATTCAAAATCTTTAAAGATGTAATTTACCCAACATTTCAGAAACAACATACTTTCATCTAACACGCATCACCTAGATTTAATTACAGTTCGACCATAGGTGCCATGAACTTTGAAAGGATTAGAATTACTAATAGAAGTAATGTTACTAGACACATTGCCGTTATTAAAAAATGTTTTAATAGACTGACAGTTCAGGTAAGATATCTCAATACATGTTGTTCCCTAATCACTAAATAAACAAGAAGAACCACAATTGGGAAAACACAGCAAATAATTTTGTTATCCCCTGCCCATTTCTCTACAAAACAAAGGCATTAACTGTGAAAAAGAAAAACTACCTTAATTTCAGGCTCCTCCTCGGTTTCTTTTGCAGCATTCTCCTTGCTGGCATCCGCAGCATCATCCTCTCCAGGCTGATTCTCAATGCCAATATTCTTTTCATCCTCGGGGACATTTTCTTCAATCTCCCTTATTTTGGGCCAAAATAGCAGGATATATAAGCAGAATAGTTTGGGTAACACAAAAATTATGTGTATAGAGCATAATAACATAAAGAGCTTTGTTGTGAAAAAAATTAACAGTTTGGCAAAACAGATACTCACGGAGCAACTTCATCAGTAGGGCTACCCCAATTACCACGCCCAGCACCATCACGTTTGAACTCATTCCTGTTTATGTTTAAAGACAGATAAATAACGTGATGAATAGTTTAAACAAAACAATCAAACCTCAAATAACACAACAATACTTACCCATGCCCAGTCCCACTGCGGCGATCATACACCCTGCGAGGACGTTCCCCCTCTCCAAATTCTCCATCATTAAACCCACCGCGGCGACCGCCACGGAAGGAACCTCGCGGGCCACCATAGCCACCACGCCTTTCAGTTTGCTTCCTTTCTTCTCCCTCTTCAGAAGGTCTGTACCCTCCTGAAAATGCATTGGAGTTATCACTAACAGTGGAATCACGATTGAATCCTCTGCCACTTAATCCACGCCCACGTCCACCACCGCGGCCTCCTCCACGTCCAGGCTCATTCCTTGCCTCTCTCGCTGCATTAGGCAAACATGAGAAAAAAGGATGAAAAGATAAATGAGTAGCACACCACACTTCAAAGGGCTTGTCAATGGTCAACAAAAGGTAAATGAAACCTAAGGGAGAGTTAAGCAATAGAACCATATCATCCATGATGAGCCGCATGATGCACTTCAACATAAAGTTTTAACTTCACAAGAGTTTTGGATGGGATTGATACAAGCAATTATAGCAAGACAAACTGAATCGATAGAGTTCACTAATATGTTAATTTTGCCTCATTTTTAATATTGAAACGCATACAACTTCACCAATTGACTTCATCAAAGATTTATTCTAACAGATAATCTCTAGATTCAGAGATGTCCTTGGTTTTACCTCAAATTTCAATCAAATGAACGTCCATACATTAAAGCAACAAACAATCACAACAAAGATAACCCACCAAAATACTGAAACAAAGATAACCCAAAAAAAGATAACCCAACAATCTAATTCATTTCTTCGCATTGAATTCAAAACAAAGCATACGATCAAACGGATTTGTGGAGGAAAAAGAAACAAAAGTTACCAGCTTGAGCAGGAGGAGGTGGCTTGGTGGGGAGCTTCGCAGGCTTAGCCGGCTGAGCTTGAGCCGGGGCCGAAACAGGAGATTTCTTGGGCTTTTCAAGCATCTTCTTCTCAGCAGCGGCAATAACCAAACTTGGGTCTTCCGTATCATCATCCAAGAGATCGAATAGGTTCTGGGTTGCCATTGGTTAAGTCAAAGAAAATGACGCCTTTTCTTTTTTAAGTTAAAAAAGAAAACGAAATAGCAACCAAGAGAGCGCTATTGTATTATTAAGGCCATAGAAGTGAATATGAATGAAAGAAATGAAAAAAGATCTGAGATCGGGATTTGGAAGGTAAGAAAACTGAGATAATCGAATGGATTAGCAAAACCCTAGGCAATGCGGCAGAGAACTGAGACTGAGGCTAAACCTAATCTTAAAAACCCTATTGGTTTTCTTATTATGTGGGCGAGTTCATTTTAAGACTTGTGCATTTGATTCATAATAAATACAAGACGACATAGATTTCTTCAATAAATAAGTTCAGAAAAAAGATTTTTTCCCTTTTTGGTCTAGGAGAAAAGGATTTTAATACATATAGTCAATCTCAAAAAAAAAAAAAAACCTTCATTATTTATAATAAGAGAAAATCGCCTCAGTGACCAAAAATGTCTTATAATATACGATTTTAATCAACTTTTTTTGGATTTGCCAAAATGACCAACAAAATCGCAACGCGATATCAAAATCGCAACGTGATTTAGAAAATCGCAACGTTGAAAAGAAAATCGCAACGGTCAAAAGAAAATCGCAACGCGATCTTCCAAGAATCGCAATGCGAGCCAAAGAATCGCGTTGCGATTCCAAGAATCGCAACGCGATTCCAATAATCGCAACGCGATTGAGAAAATCGCAACGCGATTCCAAGAATCGCAAAACGGCAAAAGAAAATCTCAAAAGCAGTAGAGTTGTTCGTATTGCATTTGTTTCTTAAAAATTTTCTCTAAAAAGATAGTATCCGCGCGGACGTGTCGAAGACACGTATGACCACGACCACGACCACGACCACGACCACGACCACGACCACGACCACGACCACGACCCGAGACGAGACGGCGGCGGCGGCGGCGCGCGAGAGTCCCCCTTGTTCTCTTTCACTCAACAAGGAAATGAGAAATCCAAGCCTTAAATACACTTCCCAATAGTGTTTCCAATACTATGTGGGATTGAACATTACCAACAACCTTCACATGTCAACCTATTTTGTGTGCTTAATTTGACTGTGCCATTCACTAAAATTGTTGGAGATTAGTTCATTTGAAGAAGTGTAACTAATAAACCATAAACCAAGTAAATTGCTTTTATTTGTCGTGAAATGATGTCCCTGCAACCTTTGGTGGAACTTTGGACCTTGTAATAAACTTGAACTATGCTTCCAGTTCCATCCAGTAGAGAATTTAAAATCATAATTTGTAACTTTATCTACAATATCACAAAGCAACAAAAAATCTACAAGAAATTGATCAGCTATGAGGAGAGTCTTGAATGTAGAATTGTTGTGTATAAATCCACATGTATGCATAACCGGGTAGAAATTATATTTGTATACGGCAACCCACCCTTTTTCACTAAACAAAACAATTTTGGCATACCAAATGAACTAATATCTCTTATAGTCACACTCAAGCTCTTAGCAAAATAGGTTGACATGTGAAGATTGTTGGTAATGTTCAATCCCACATAGTATTGGAAACACTATTGGGAAGTGTATTTAAGGTTTGAATTTCTCATTTCCTTGTTGAGTGAAAGAGAACAAGGGGGACTCTCGCGCTCCGCCGCCGCCGCCGTCTCGTCTCTGGTCGTGGTCGTGGTCGTGGTCGTGGTCGTGGTCGTGGTCGTGGTCGTGGTCGTGGTCGTGGTCGTGGTCGTGGTCGTGGTCGTGGTCGTGGTCGTGGTAATACGTGTCTTCGACGTCCGCGCGGATACTATCTTTTTAGAGAAAATTCTTAAGAAACAAATGCAATACGAACAGCTCTACTGCTTTTGAGATTTTCTTTTGCCGTTTTGCGATTCTTGGAATCGCGTTGCGATTCTTGGAAGATCGCGTTGCGATTTTCTTTTGACCGTTGCGATTTTCTTTTCAACATTGCGATTTTCTAAATCGCGTTGCGATTTTTGTTTCGCATTGCGATTTTGTTGGTCATTTTGGCAAATCCAAAAAAAGTTGATTAAAATCGTATATTATAAGGCATTTTTGGTCACTGAGGCGATTTTCTCTTATAATAATCATTGTATTATATATAAAACCATGCACTTTTTATTATTGTGATTTAAGTTTTGATACGGTAAAATTTGTAAATGATATCGGTAATTAAAGTAATTGTTATATTTCTTAGAGGTTTTAGTTTGTTAGGTTTGACGATGCATATGCGGGAATGTATGTATTATTAATGATTAAGAAATATTTTAACAGATATTACATTATAATCAGCATTGATTATTCACAAAAATTCCATATAGTAAGTCAACTAAATTAATTTATTGTCATATTAAAAAAATTAACAAATAAAATTCTATAATAATGGAAAACCCTAGCGTGCTCCCGTCTCCTGCTGTGTCCCCGCCTCCTATTGTTTCCGACGATAGGGCAATCAAGAAGCCGCTTAATGATCGGGATAAACCTCCGGATGAGCCCCCACCCCACCCGATTCCTTGGAGAATCCTTCTTCCACTCTGCCTGCACCTAGCTCTTATCGCGATCGGCTCATGGCCGACTCTGTACCCTCCATTCCCGTTACTGATGACGACATAGAAGATGACGACATCGATATTCTTGAGGGTGATGTTCGACGTGGTATGATTAATGGCCTCTTACCCGTCAAGAGCCTCAGTCAAACAATTGTTGTTAAGCTACTTGGACGTCGCATTGACTATAACTCCTTACGTAATCGGATCTTTGACCTATGGAAACCCACTCAAGCCCTACATATCATGGATATTGAGAACGATTATTTCCTTGTCACTTTGCGCAGCCACAACGATTATCTCAGGGTTTTATCGGAAGGTCCTTGGCGTTTATGGCCATTATCTGACGATTGAGCCCTGAACTGAAGATTTCACGACATCGCAACCTTATTCGAGTAAGGTCGTTGCATGGATGCGTTTGCCGGGCTTGCTTATCACTCTTTATAAACGTAGCATCATCACCGAGATTAGTGAGAGCATTGGGCTGGTGATCAAGATCGATTACCAAACTGATTCTGGTTGACGTGGACGATTCGCTCGTATGACTATCCGTGTTAATTTGAATAAGCCCTTGGTCTCTAAGCTTGTCATCAATGGCCATGTTCAGACGGTAGAGTATGAGTCTTTGCCAATCGTATCCTTTCATTGTGGTACTTACAACCATACCTTGGATGCTTACCCAAATGCAAAGCCATCTCCAGCACATGGTCTCACATCGGAGGTTAATAACTCTTCCGTTGATCAAAATGGAGAGCCATCCTATGAGCCATTGATGCTGGTTGAAAAGAAACAACGCAAGGTCTCTAAGAAACAAATGAGTGATCAGGCTGGTACCAGCAAATCTGCTGCTGTGGCCGGCTCCCGTTTCAGTCCCATAGCCTTGCCTAATGACGTCATACCTGCAGCTTCTACTACTGGCCTTCCGGATGCGCCTTTGCTTGCGTCTTCTTCACACGATGCTTCAGCCGCATCTTTGGTTTCTAAAGCCAAAGGTAAAGAAAAAGCTAGTGATCAGCCCAGTAAACCGAATAAATCCTGTGGGATTGTTACAATGAAGAAAACGGTTACTATGCCTCGTCCTTTAGCTGTGACGCAGTCTCCTCCGCTAGCTACTCATCGGGCACTACAGCCGGATTGTATGGTGTTCGTACTGACAGTACTCGGCAGATTGTTACACTTGATAAAACGAAGCACTCTTCGGTCGTTCTCTCTGAGAACTCCGATCCTAATATCCCCATTCCCACCGCTTTTGACTGTGATGTTTCTTCGAATGAACCTCCGGATCCTGGCCAATCTAATCAGGCTCTCAACATGGGTGAGCACCGCATTATGTCAGCGGAGTTGCGAAAGATCCAATGGAAATTATCATTGATGATGCGCCTGTTGGGGAATTTGCTGCTCCAATGGCCTTTTGAGTTTGTCTATGCTTCTCCCACTTTGTATTATTTATTATGAATTTTAAAAATTTTTGTTGGAACGAACAGGGTTGAGGCTACTATCGGTTCTTGACTGTTGTCAGATAATTTCTCAGGGATTATAAACCTGATGTTGTCGAGTTTGTTGAGCCTCGCATCATCAGCTCTAAGGCTGATTCTGTTATCGCTGCGTTGGGTTTTCCTAACTCTCATTGCGTTGAAGCGGCGGGGTTTTCTGGTGGAATCTGGCTCTGTTGATAAGATTCAGTTTCTGTTGATATTCTCTATAGCCACTCACAGTTTATTCACTGTCGTATCACGCACAAACGAGACACTATCTCTTCTAGGTACAGTTATCTACGCTAGTCCTAATGCTTCGAAAAGACGAGCTCTTTGGTCTCACCTGCGCCCATGGTATTAAATTGCAGCCGCAACGCAGTGTAACGGCCGTATCGTAACGGTTTTGAAGGCCACCGCGACGCAATATTATAGCAACGCAATCGCCCGCGACAGCTGCAACACGTTAAAAAATCACGCCCGCTACCACCACAACACGTTACGTAACGTCCGCAGCATCCGCAACCGCGACAAATGCCGCAACCGCTATTTTATACTATGCCTGCGCCACCTTGCTTGTTATAACCGTCAGCCTTGGATTTGTTAGGAGACTTTAATGCTACGTTGGTTTCTTCTGATCGAACAGGAGGAACTGCTTCCACGCCTCATTGTAAGGATTTTTAGAATTTTCTGTTGGACGATGATCACCGAGATATGCTTCCACCTTGCTCTTTACTCATGCTCGTTTGGTGATTTTCAACGTATAGTGAGTGACAACTAGTCTGACATGGGTAGCCTTTCTACTTCCATCGCCCATTTCTCCAAAGCGGCTGATGTTTGGAACAAGTCTGTTTTTGGCTATATTGGTTCCAAAAAACGTATGGTTATGGCACGACTTCTAGGAACTCAACGTGCTCTCCAACTCCGGCCTACTGCTTCCCTCCATAAGCTGGAATCTGCTCTCCTCAGCGAGCTGGAGTCTTTACTTGACCAGGAAGAGCTTCTTTAGAAGCAACGGTCTCGTGCTGACTGGATTTCTTTTGGTGATCGCAACACAGTCTAGTTTCATCGGAAAGCAAAAGCTCGTAAACAGCGTAACCTCATTTTGGTTTTGAAAGTTAATGGTGATTGGACTGATGATCAGCAGGTTCTCCATGACGCTGCAGTAAGGCATTTTAAAGCTTTGTTTTCGGTTGATGATTTGCGGCATGATACTTTCCCTATTGCTAGGCATTTTCCTTGCTTTCCGAAGGAACATTGGCCATCCCTGGACGCGGTTCCTTCGCCTGATGAAATTTATGCTGCTCTTAAGGAAGTGGCTCCTTTGAAACCATCAGGTCATGATGGTTTACATGCAGAATTTTTTCAGAAACAATGGTCGATTGTGGTGACTGCTGTCTGCAACTGTATCAAGGTGCTTTCCTTGGCGGTGAGCTAGAAGCTGCTCTAAACATGACTACTATTGTGCTTATTCCAAAGATTGACCATTCGGAGACCTCTATGAAATTTCGACCGATAAGCCTCTGCACTGTCATCTATAAACTTCTAACAAAAAATCTTTGTTCGGCATTTGAAACCCATCATGCCTCAGATTGTTCACTCGAATCAGACAAGTTTCATTTAAGGCCGCTCTATCACAGAGAATATTATCCTTAACCAAGAAGCGATTCATTCCATATGACATTCGAAAAGCAACCAAGGTTGGATGACTATCAAAATTGACCTTGAAAAGGCTTTTGATCAGCTGCGGCGGGATTTTATACATGATACATTGTGTGATGCTGGGTTCCCACCAAATTTGACCCTTATTATCGTGCATTGTGTTACCTCTTTTTCTTTCCGGGTACAATGAAATGGTACTTTAACCGAATCGTTTAAACCAGAATGTGGCATTCATCAAGGAGATCCCGTGTCTCCGAATTTATATGTTCTGGCCATGGAACGGCTTGGACATTCTATTATAGACAATATTGCTAAGAAGATTTGAGAGCCTTTCCGGTTTGTTCAGCGTGGACTACCTCTCTCTCATTTGTTCTTTGCGGATGATTTAATTCTTTATGCTCGAGCTGATATTCTGAATGCAGATGTGATCAATTCCACTTTGGACTGTTTCGGTGCCTACTCTGCCCATAAAGTTAATAAACAGAATACAACTATTTTCTTCTTCCTTCCACGAGCAAATCCATGCAGGAGGCAATCAGTGATCGCTTGGGTTTTCGTTATGTTACTGAGCTTGGGAAGTACTTGGGTGTACCAGTCCAGCATCGTCGAGTTACTCGGTCTGATTATAATTTATATTGGAGAAGATGCAAGTTTTTTTTTAAATGGATAGGCTTCCCGGTTTCTCTCCATGGATGGTCGTATTACTTTGGCCAAATCGGTTCTCGCTTCCATTCCGGTCTACTTCATGCAGAACGGTCTCCTCCCGGTTGGTGTTTGTAATTCCACTGAACAACTTATTTGGTGATTTGTTTGGGGATCTTCCACCACAAAACATGTGTTTTCCCCGATCAATTGGGAAACTCTTTGTCAACCACTTAACCGAGGTGGTTTGGGCTTCCGACGCATCCGTGAACAAAACAAGGCTCTCCTTATGAAAGTCTGCTTTGCCTTAATTACCAAGCAGGGTTCGTTTTGGATCCGTTTGTTGTGCCAAAAGTATAGGGTCACCGAATCCTTTCTAGTTTCGATCCACAAGGCTTCGTGCAATCGTGCTCTCCTTTTTGGAATTCTTTGTCCAAAATTTGGGTAGACTTTCGCTCCAATATACATGGTTTGGCTTCCTTCTTTGGGTGCTCTTCGTGAGCACATTCAACCTCCAGCTCGCACGGTTCCTCACTGCAATGTTGCTAGTTTGGAGAACCAGAATGGTGAATGGGACATTAGCTTACTGTCGTCTTTACTCTCCAGCACCGCCATTAACCATATCCTTGGTACTTTGCCCCCGTTTGATCCAGCCGAGCAGGATACGTGCATTTGGCGATGGAGTCTGAATCGTCTCTTCCATGTGTCCTCTGCCTATGAATCTTTAACAAGCTCTTCGAGGTCTCCAGCCCACTGCTCTTGGAACCAGTTTTTGTTTCCTTTATATGGTAGCTATGGAAACGTCGTAATGAGCTGGTTTTTACCCAAGACTGTTGTACCCTCGATGTTGCTTTTGCTGTTTCGATTTCCTGGGCGAGACATTTTCACGCTAGCTCTCCCATGCAGAGCTTACCTCTCCGCCCTGCCCCGTAGCCTCTTTCAGACCTTGAAGTTGAGTTACTTCGTAACCTCGATAAACTGCCCGTGTTGTCCAATGGGAAAAGCTGCCTCCCGATTAATTGGATTTGTGTTAATACCGATTGTTTATCAAAAGGTTCTCCTCAATCAGATTGTTTGGAAGCTATTAAGACTGCTGAAGACCCCTGTTGCTATGGATTGTTGTTCGCTGCTCCGTACTATTCTCCAGCTTCGCCGACGTCGTTGGGAGCTTTCATGCGATGGATTCCACGTGAAGCTAATCTCCTTGCTGATTCTCTTGCTAAATCGAGTCCCTCAAGTTTATTTGGAGTCACTCTGCTGGACGCTGTTCCTTCTTCGCTTCAATAGCTTCTTCCTCGTGATATTGACAGCCCACTGTATCTACGTACTTGATGTAATTTTGTTTCTTTCAGTTCAAAAAAAATATTTTAATTATAGTATTTATAGAAATGTATTCAATAAATTATTATAGTCATAAAAAAGTAAATAAATACAATTTATTAGTCTAGTGTTTGATTTTTAACCATTTAAATATTAAATTTTAGTTATTTTATTTAAAAATTACATACAAGTATAAAATGATGAAAAATATTATAATAATATTTATTATTACTTAAAATATAGCATTCAATATTTTTAACTAAAACTGATATATAGTTAATTGATTATTGTATAATTCTAAAGCCCAATCATCCATAAAATAAGGCCTTTAAGATCATTAAAACTAAATAAATTCGTTTTTTTTCATTTGGGCCTAAAATTTAGCGATCCAATAGAGGCTTCGATATTGGTATCAGATTTGTGCATATCGTCCAATAAAATACACGTATGTTGTATGGCAAATTCCCCGATATAATATTCTCGAACTTTTTATTTCACGAGATAATGCTATCGCCATATTATTTGCTGAGATAGGGTGAATTCTACAGTGCAGCCGTAGGTCGCCATGGCATCCGAGCGAGCTTGGAGATCGCCATGGCATCCGAGCGACATTGTAGGACGCCATGGCATCCCAGCGACATGGTAGGTCGCCAAGGCATCCGAGCGACATGCATGCTTTGCATGCACAACACTTCGCATGGGATAGGTCGCCAATGTTCACGGTTATTGGTCGCCTCTGCACGACTGCCCCCTCTCGATGCGCCCCTGCTCCCATGCAGCGTGAATTCAGCTGCATTATTGCAGCACTTATTGTTGCATTATTGCAGCCCTTATTGCTGCATTATTGCAGTCCTTATTGTTGCATTATTGCAGTCGTTCAGCTCACGTGAATGACAACTTGAGGGTGATATAATTGAAGCAGACGAGATGGGTGGTTGTATTATATATTGGATGGGTTAATGAGTGAAACATAAAAGAAAGAAAGAGAGAAGAGAGCAAGGGAAAAGAGGAAGAAGAAGAAAGGGAGAGCACAACATCGAGGTAAGTTTTTTAAATAATTAAATTAGTTTATTATTTTAAATTATTAGTTTGTTAGTTTATGGTTTAAGGTAAAACAAAATTTTAGTTAATTAGTTAGTTAGTTTAAGGTAAAACAAAATTTTAGTTAATTAGTTTGTTAGTTTAAGTTATATTATTGTTAGTTTAAGTTATATGATACATAAATATAAAATTATTTAATTAGTTTGTTTGATAGTTATATATTAAAAAAATAATCAATTAGCGTGTTAGTTAGTCTAATATTTAATTAGTTTGTAGTTAGTTAAATAGTTAAGTTATATTTTGGTTATTGAATTTATATTATATAAAAAATTTAGTTAAGTAGTTTATTAGTAGTTTAAGTTTTATTATAATAAAAAATAGTTTATTAGTTTAAGTTATATAAAAGAATAATTATTTAAATTAGTTTATTATTATAAATTATTAGTTAATTAGTTTATTATTATAAATTAGGGTAAAATAAAAAATTAGTTAATTAGTTTGTTAGTTTAAGTTATATAATTGTTAGTTTAAGTTATATCATATAGAAATAAAAAATTATTTAATTAGTATGTTTGATAGTTACATATTAATAAAAATAATTAGTTAATTTGTTAGTCGTTAGTTATGTATAAAAAAATATGTAATTAGTTTGTTTTAGTTAAATAGTTAAGTTATATTTGTTTGTTGAATTTATATTATATAAAAAATTTAGTTAATTAGTTTTTTAGTAGTAAATTATAAGTTATTATATTAAATTTTTTTGTTGTGTTGTAAATTAGTTAGTTAGTTAGTTAGTTAGTTACTTAACATTAGATTATATTAAATGATTTTTTAAATACTGTTGTTTAATTTTTTTTACAGATTCATTTGAATGGCTGACCAAATTTCACTGTTGAGACTTGACAATTAACATATTTCAAGTCATTTGGGAATAATTGTGAATAAAATAATTGTTTAATAAATTATTATTAATAAATATTTGAATATTATTTTATGATTTGTGATAATTTTTTTGCATTATTTAATTACAGGAGGACGAGCAGCGAGTCTTTCGTCATCGGCTACATAAAGTGCCCAAGCCGCACCGTTGATAGAAGAAAACCTGCAAAAGGTTGAATTTTGGTATGTAACATTTGTGCGAGATTACAAGTTGGTCCCAAGTTTGATCAGTGTGTTGATTGAACGTTGGAGACCAGAAACGCACACGTTTCATTTGCCGTGTGGCGAATGTACGATTACTCTGGAGGATGTGACAATGCAACTCGGGTCTAAACTAATGGGATGCCGGTGGTAATGACACATGAGTTTACAAATGTGGCACAACTTTGCAGTTTTTTTCTTGGGAAAACACACGTACCACCAGAGTGTAAAGGGTGGCGTGTGAGGTTGTCATGGTTGAAGAATGAATTTCAGCTTCAACCAAATAGTACGAAGCACGAAATTATATATGCAACACGAGCATATATATTGCAATTGATTGGCGTAATTTTGATGCCGGATAAATCCGGTAGTTATGTTCACACTCAATATCTTCTTTTTTAAGAAATTTTGAGAATAGTAGGCAATATAGCTGGGGATCGACGTTATTGGTGTTCTTGTATCGTGAGATGTGCAAGGCGTCATTAGTCGTGAATGATAATAATACATCAAAAATCGGTGGATGTCTATTGCTGCTACAATCATGGGCTTGGCATAGACTTCCATTTTTGACACCGATTAGTCGGACTACGTTTGACTTTCCACTTGTCGAAAGGTAATATGAATTATCTATTTTGTTGAAAACATTTTGATATTTCGATATAACAAATTAAGTTAAATGAATTTTAAGATTTTCCAAAATGATTTTCCAAGTATATTCGATATAATTATTCGAATATCAAAACATTACTCAAAATATTTCAAAAATCATTTTTAATCCTTACTTAAGTGTAAAATTAAGTTTTAATCTTAAAATAATTTCAAAATAATCTTTCAAAGTATTTTGAACCATTTCAAAGCCAAAAATTCCAGATTGCTCAGAGGGAACCGATTCCCCCCCAAGGGGGTACCGATTCCCCCTGAATGGTTTGGCTCCGAGATTTCCAGAATGCTCGGAGGGAACCGATTCCCTCATAGGGGGTACCGATTCCCCCCTGTTCAACGGTCGAAATATTTGAATTTTACACTTAGGAACCGATTCCCCATAGGGGGTACCGATTCCCCCACGCTCCAAACTGTTTTATTAATTGTTTTCACACTAAAACGGCTATATGATCTTCACTAATCATCCCCAACGTTCAGAAGAGATTCAAGGTGTATTTAAACAAGTTCTGAAGCCCTTGATCAACAAGAAATCATAGAGAAACAAGAGAGAAAGCATCAAACACCAGGTTTGTACAAATCAAGCCATTTTTCCTTTCAATATTCATTTTGCTTTCAAGAACACCATTTGTGCTCATTTGTAATTATCTTTGAGTGTTCTTTTCTTGTTCTAGAATTGTGCAAACATCTTACCTTGTGAGGTTTTCTTGTAAGTTTGCAAATTTGTAATCTTCTCTTTGGGAAAAAGAGTGTTCTCAAGAGTTGGGGTATACTCTTGAGGGTTTTTGTAAGGTTATCTCTTTGGCCTCAAAAGAAAGAACAAATTAGTGAATTTGTTGGAAAATCCTTAGTGTGGATAGCTAAGGTAGTGGACGTAGACTTTGTTTGAGAAAGTCGAACCACTGTAAATCGCTGTGCAATTACTTTCAATTTTTCTATAAAAGCTTCCACGAAATTTTAATTGCCAATTCACCCCCTCTTGGCCGATTTCATCGATCAATTAACTCAACAATTGGCATCAGAGCCTAACTCATTTGAAGGTTTAATCGCCTCTTGAGTTGATTCGGGAAGGGTTATATCGATTATTAAAGTCATCAATGGCCTCCGCTTCAAACTTCGACTCCGGTCTCGATTCGATGCCCGTCAACAAGCCTCCTTTCTTCAATGGAGCTAACTATGCCTATTGGAAGAATAGAATGATGTAATTCATTCAAGCAAGTGACATGGGAGCATGGAATGCTGTAGAAGAAGGATATATCAAACCTCTCACTCATCCAAGGTTGTGGAGTGAAGGAGAGACAAGAATGTTTCAGCTCAACTCCAAAGCCATCCATATTATTTTTTGTGCTCTTGGACCAGATGAATACGGAAGAGTTTCATCATGTACAACTGCCAAAGAAATATGGGACAAGCTTCAAGTCACACATGAAGGTACAGATGAGGTAAAGAAATCAAAAATTAGTATTCTAACGCATAGCTATGAAAATTTCAGGATGAAACCAAATGAAGACATCAAAGCTATGACGGATAGATTTTCAACGATTGTCAATGGTCTCAAATCATATTTGAGAGATCATCTCAAATGAAAAGCTTGTGAGGAAGTTAGTCTACTCCCTCCCAAAATCATGGCAATCAAAGAAGACGGTAATCATCGAGTCTAAGGACCTATCGTCCTTAACTCTTGAAGAACTTATCGGTTCACTCCTCACTCATGAGATGATGCTTGAAGATGAGGTGGACCTTGATAAAGTTGAAGAGACACCAAAGGAAAAGGAGAAGAAGAAAAATATTGGAGTTGCTCTCAAATCCACAAAAGATGAGAGTGATTCTAATAATGATGATGATGACGAGGAAATGGCATTGTTTGCCAAACGGTTCAGAAAAATGATGAGACCTTACCAAGGAAGAAAATTCAAACGAAACGAATGCCTCAAAAATGAACCAAAAGAGAAGGACCCAATCATTTGCTATGAATGCAAAAAGTCGGGGCATGTCAAATATGATTGCCCACAATTGAAGTCAATCAAAGAATAAGCACAAGGCTCATGTGGCTACATGGAGCGATGAAGAAAGTTCCGATGAAGAGGAACAAGAAGTAGCAAACTTGTGCTTGATGGCATTCGGGGAAGATTCTAAGGTAACCTCTAACTCATCCGATTTTGATGATTTATCTTATGATGAGTTATTTGAGGAGTACAATGGGTTGGCTTCGGATTATGAGAAATTGTTTTTAAAATATAAAAATGATGTTTCAAAATTGAAAAATGAAAACAAACTCATATCCAAAACCAACAACGATCTTGAAAGTAAAATCAAAGATTTGCAAATCAAACTAGAAGAGTTTGAAAAGAAAAATTTAGATTTGCAAAATTTACTTTCAAAAGATCAATGATGATCATCAAAAGAAAATTGATGATCTTAAAACTTCTTTTGATAAAGTTGGAACAAAACATTTTGAAAAAGGTGGAAATTCAAAATCCAACTTTGTTAGAAAAAGTTTTAGAAACTACAATCATAGAGGTCCCCAAAGAACCTCTAATGGAAAAATCATTAGAAGTATGTGGGTTCCTAAAGAACTCATTACTACTAAAGATAAAAATATCCTACACAAATGGATACCTAAGGGGACTAGGATTTTGGAAACTAATGAATATGGACCCAAAAGAATTTGGGTACCAAAAATCAAAAATCAATCTATGTTTGTAGGGAAAGGAGCATTGCTACAAGGCACGGGAAATTAAATTCAAATTCATGGTACCTTGATAGTGGATGCTCAAGACATATGACCGGAGACAAAAGCCGGTTCATTGAGCTTAACGCCAAAAATGGAGGAGAAGTGACTTTTGGAGACAATTCAAAAGGTCACATTGAAGGTATTGGTACAATAGGTAATACCTCTTCCATACAAATTAATAATGTTTTATATGTGAATGGATTAAAGCATAATCTATTGAGTATTAGTCAATTATGCGATAAAGGATTCAATGTCTTATTTGAAATTAATGGTTGTAAAGTCATTGACATTGCATCTAATCGGATTATGCTTGTTGGTCATAGAATAGGAAACATTTACATGGTGCATTTAGATTCTATTGATATGACTAATTTATGCCTAGTTGCTAAGGATGAGCATGAAAGTTGGTTATGGCATAGGAGACTAGGTCATGCTAGTATGAGTGTTTTACAACGGTTAATTCAAGGAGACTTAGTAAGAGGGTTGCCTAAGCTTAAATTTGATAATGATAAAATCTGTGATGCTTGTGCTAAAGGAAAACAAAAGCGAGTTTCTTTTAAATCTATTAATGATGTATCAACTAGTAGAGTATTACAATTGATCCATTTAGATCTTTTTGGGCCAACTAGAACTACTAGCTTGGGAGGAAAACAATATGCAATTGTCTTGGTAGATGACTATTCTAGATACACTTGGGTTCTATTCTTAAGTACTAAAGATGAAGCATTAGAAAATTTCATCACATTTTCAAAAATAATCCAAAATGAAAAAGGTTACTCTATCACTAGTGTTAGAAGTGATCATGGAACTGAGTTTGAAAATCCTGGATTTATTGAGTTTTGTAATTCTAATGGTATTAGCCATAATTTTTCAGCACCTAGAACCCCTCAACAAAATGGAGTTGTTGAGAGGAAAATCGAACTTTAGAAGAAATGGCTAGAACCATGCTTTGTGAAAATAATTTGCCAAAATATTTTTGGGCGGAAGCCACAAATACCGCTTGTTATGTTGTAAATCGAGTAATGATTAGGCCAATTTTAAAGAAAACTCCATATGAAATTCTCAAAAATAAAAAGCCTAACATTAGCTATTTTCATCCTTTTGGATGTAAATGTTTGTTTTAAACAACGGTAAAGAAAACCTTGGCAAATTTGATGCTAAAAGTGATGAAGGAATTTTTCTGGGTTATTCCTTAAATTCTAAAGCTTATCGTGTATTTAATAAAAGAACTTTAGTTGTAGAAGAGTCTATACATGTTGTTTTCGATGATAATCCCCTTCCGAGAAATGATTCTTCTGTTAATGATGATGTAGGTATTGTACAAGCAAATGACGTTAGACATGACGTTGGAGAATCATCATCAAAGGAAGAAAAAAAGATGAGGAAACTCATGATCCCCTCGAGAATCCAACCAGTGAAGAAAGGGAAGTATCTTTTCCAAGAGAGTACAACTATGTCAAGGATGGTGAAATTATAGGTGATCCATCAAAAGGGGTAACTACTCGATCTTCTCTTAGAAATATGTAATTATGTTGCATTTATTTCATGCATAGAGCCTAAAAACATCAAAGAAGCATTAAAAGATGAACATTGGATTATGGCTATGCAAGAAGAATTAAATCAATTTGAGAGAAGTAAAGTATGGACATTAGTTGAAAGGCCTAGTAATAAATCTACTGTAGGTACTAGATGGGTTTTTAAAAATAAACTTGATGAAAGTGGTAATATAGTGAGGAACAAGGCTAGACTTGTTGCTCAAGGCTATACTCAAGAAGAAGGCATAGACTATGATGAAACATACGCTCCCGTAGCTAGGATGGAAGCAATTAGAATGTTATTAGCATTTGCATGTTTCAATGAATTTAAATTATATCAAATGGATGTTAAAAGTGCATTTTTAAATGGTTTTATAAAAGAAGAAGTGTACGTGGAACAACCTCCAGGTTTTGAAGATTCAAATTTTCCGGATCATGTTTTAAAATTAACAAAAGCTCTTTATGGTTTAAAACAAGCTCCTAGAGCTTGGTATGAAAGATTGTCAAATTTTTTAATTGAAAAAGGTTTTTTAAAAGGAAAGGTTGACACTACATTGTTTTTAAAGAGAAAAGGTAAAGATTTATTAGTAGTTCAAATTTATGTTGATGATATAATATTTGGTTCTACTAATGATGTTCTTTGCCAAGAATTTTCTAAGCTAATGCAAAGTGAGTTTGAGATGAGCATGATGGGGGAGCTCTCATTTTTCTTGGGACTCCAAATCAAGCAAAGAAAAGATGGCATCTTCATTAATCAAGCTAAGTACGTCAAAGATATGCTCAAGAAGTTTGGACTGGAAAATGGGAAACCTCATAACACTCCAATGAGCTCCTCAACAAAGTTTGATTTAGATGAAGGAGGTAAATGTGTGGATGTTAAATTATATAGATCCATGATTGGCTCATTTCTTTATCTAACCGCAAGTAGACCGGATATTATGTTTAGTGTTTGCTTGTGTGCTAGGTTTCAATCATGTCATAAAGAATCACATTTACTAGCTGTTAAGAGAATCTTTAGATACCTTAAGGACACTCCTTGTTTAGAACTTTGGTATCCTAGAGACTCTAGCTTTAGCTTGCATGCCTTTTCTGATGCGGATTATGGAGGATGCAAATTAGATAGGAAAAGCACCTCCGGTACTTGCCAATTCCTTGGAAATATGTTGATTTCTTGGTTTTCAAAGAAACAAAATTGTGTTGCATTATCTACCACTGAAGCGGAATATATTTCAGCCGGCAGTTGTTGTGCACAAGTTTTATGGATGAAACAACAACTTTTTGATTATGGAATTGAAGTAGGTACCATTCCTATCAAGTGTGACAACACTAGTGCTATTTGTCTCACTAAAAATCCCATCCAACACTCTAGAACTAAACACATTGAAATAAGACATCACTTCATTAGAGACCATGTCACTAAGGAAGATGTAGTTTTAGAATATGTTGATACTTTGCATCAATTAGCGGATATCTTTACAAAACCCTTAGACAAGGAAAGGTTTTGGACACTTAGAAGAGAATTAGGTTTAACTAACCTATCTTCACTTAATGTTTAAAATAATTTAGCACTTTTAATAAATACTAAAAAATACTTATAATAATAATTTTTGATTGCATTCTTGCTATTAGTTAGGGGGAGTTTATGATTCTAAGTGAAAAATTAATTTTATGTTCAAATAATTATTTTAATTGTTTGAACATAATTATTTTTCAATATATGAGTTGCCTATACCACTAGAGAAGATTAATTTAGCATTTTATGTGCTTAAAAGTCGTATTTTAGCATTTTGGTGCAGAGGGAATCGATCCCCCCATGAGGGAACCGATTCCCCCCACAGGGGAATCGATACCCCCTGGGGTTCTGTTAAATCGGGTAGAAAACCCCCAAAACCCTTATTCTTTCACTTGGCCGTTTTCTCTCTATCTCTCACTCCAAATTTCAATATTTCATCAAAACACCATTTTTAATCGGAATTCTCATCAAATATCATCTTCTAAACCTGTTGGAATCATTAAAATCGTGCAAACAACATCTAAATCCCCTCAATCTTCATCTTTTAAGGTAAATTTTTCTAAACTCTCTATTTCATTGTTTTTGAACATAGGATTAGTTTTAATTAGTTCTAGGTTGAAATAGTGATTGAGCATTGATTGTTTAGTGATTAGAAACTAGATGTTACAACTAATTTCATCAAAAACACAAGAATTTTACAAATTGTTTTAAAATTTTCGAAATAATAAAAAAAATTCAAATTATTGTGTTTTGATTAAATTATGTTGTTGTTATGAAAACTATACATATATTGTTTCTCAAAACCGTATTTTTCAAAAGTTTTTCAAAACTTTGCCCAATAGGATTGATTTAGAGAACCTTGAAATATTGAGGACTCAATTGAGTTTTGGGATTAATTGAATTGCATACATTTGTTTTTAAAATTACAGGTTATTCGATCTATTCCGATTTCCTTCATCATGTCAAATCCTAAACGTGCTAGGTCTTCATCTAGTCGTTCTAGTCGTCAACCAAATCCACCACCAAATCCTCCTCCTATTCCTCAAAATCCTATTCCAAAATCTTGATCCCAACTTGACTATCCAAAATTCTTGTTTCAATCAACCGGGTCCTAAAGATTATCGCTTTTGGTTTTATCAATATTTTGACTCGTATAAGATTAGGGAAGAACGTATACCATCTCTTCAAGCTATGGTTGCTATTAACTTTAAATATATCCCTATCTTGCACGAATGGAAATTTGATAAACTTTTTCGAACTTGAACCCGTTGTCTATCATCAACTTGTTCGTATCTTCTATAGTAATGTCGTTTGTATCAAAAATCGTGACAAAACCAAAACCATAGGAGTACGTTCCTACCTCCTAGGTCAATATTTCCATCTTGATCCGGCTTACATAGCAAATGCCTTAGGCTTGGATAATGAAGGATTATCAAATGAAAAACAAGTTTTAGGCTCTCGATATAAACGAAATGATAGTGCAAGTGTTTTGGATCTCCATGAGCGTTTTCTTCATCTTATGATCACTTGGTGGTTTCGACCATCCGGGGGTCGATATTCAACTCTTAGAGC